GAACCTCAAAACGAAGGGGCGTCTCTTTATTGGGGGAATTGGATTGTATGCGGTTTGAGACCGATTGCCAGGAGTGTAAACTGTTCGTATGGTTTTTTCCTATTCGGCTGTTTACAGCATTCATATTACATAGTAATGTCTGTTACATTACATAGTTACATAGCTGAAAAGAGACTTGCGTCCAACAAGTTCAGCCTTCCTCACATTTGTTTTTTTGATGTTGATCCAAAATAAGGCAAACCCCCCCCCCAGTTTGAAGCACAATTTTGCAACAAGCTAGGAAAAAAATTCCTTCTTGACCCCAGAATGGCAGTCAGATTTATCCTTGGATCAAGCAGTTATTACCCTACAATGAAAGATTATATCCTTGAATATTCTGTTTTTGCAAGTATGCATCTAGTAGCTGTTTGAACATCTGTATAGACTCTGATAAAACCACTTCAGGCAGAGAATTCCACATCCTGATTGTTCTTACAGTAAAAAAAAAAAAATTCCTTTGCCTTAGACGAAATCTTTCTTCCTGTCAGCATTTCTGGAGAAGCATACGAATTTCCGGAGAAGCATACGAATGCTTTCAAACAGACATGTTTGAGAGCATTCGTATGCTTCTCCGGTTCGGTGGATTGGTGTCTACAGTAGCTGCCTGTATATTTGGAAGGGGAATATCTCCTAAATCGGCTGTTAACCCTTTTACGTCTGGGGGTGCAAAATGGTCCGTTACAGTTGCAAACTGAGGAACCACCTTGTCACCCTGGCATTATCATCTTTATTTTGACTCATCCAGGTTAAGGGAGCATGGTCTGTGACGATCCTAAATTTTCTGCCCAGCAGATAATATTTTAGTGAGTCTAAAGCCCATTTTAAGGCAAGGCATTTTTTCTCCACTGTAGAATAATTTCTCTCAGCGGGAGTCAGCTTCCTACTTAAAGGGACACTATAATCACCAGTGCAACTACATTTATTCCTGACCCTATAGTTAACCACCATCATCTAGCCCCCCTGGGCCCCTCATGCCTCCATAAATATAGTTCAATTCTTACTGTATTCAAGCCAGAAGCTGTAACTCTGCATGCTGTTTGCAAAAAAAAAAAAAAAACAACAAAAAAACGACATAATCAGAAGTTGTCGCCTGATCCAATCGCAGTGCCCCCATCCCTGACAAGGATGCAGATCAGGGGCAGAGCCAGCAAGATTCAAACACAGCCAATCAGCATCTCCTCATAGAGATGAATTGAATCAATGAATGTCTAGGAGGAAAGTTCAGTGTCTGCATGCAGAGGGAGGAGACACAGCGCTGCCCTGTGCTCTGCTGACAGCAGATCTGAGTGGATTGAGGAGTTTTATGCCTCAATCAACTCGGAAGTCCCTCTGGTGGCATTCTGAGTGACTGCAACTGGAGGTGTTCCTAGCTTTCAATGTAAACACTATATTTTCTCAGAAAATACAGTATTTACATGAGAGAGGCTGCAGGGAGCTATAGTTCTCACCTGAACAACCTCATTAAGCTTAAGTTGTTCAGGTGACAGTGTTTTATTTAAACACTGGGTGTTCTTCACCCTGAATTTCCTGAAACAGAACCACCCCTAACCCAATCTCTGATGCATCGGTTTGCACAATGAACTCTTTAGTGAAATCCGGGGTTACCAGAACTGGCTGGGTGCACAAAGCCTCTTAAGAATTTACAAATGATTTTTCTGTCTCTAATGACCACTTCACCACTAGTGGGGCTTTTCCTTTTGTGAGACCAGCTGCTAATGTAGCAAAATCAGGAATAAATCACCTGTAGTACCCAATAAGTCCTAAGAAAGTCCTGACTTGCTTTTTAGTGAGGGGGCGTGGCCAATTTTGTATGGCCTTCACTTTTGCTGTTTGGGGCTTAACAAGCCCTCTTCCAAACCTATAGTACACTAAGATGGGTTAGCAGTAGTGATGTCCCGAACTGTTCACCGGCGAATAGTTCCCGGCAAACATCGCTTGTTCGCGTTCGCTGCGGACGGCAAACATATGCGCAGTTCGGTCCGCCCCTATTCGTCATCATTGAGTAAACTTTGACCCTGTACCTCACAGTCAGCAGACACATTCCAGCCAATCAGCAGCAGACCCTCCCACCTCCTGGACAGCATCCATTTTACATTCATTGTGAAGCTGCATTCTTTGTGAGAGGAGGGACAGTGTAGCTGCTGCTGATTTGATAGGGAAATTGATAGCTAGGCTAGTGTATTCAGTGTCCACTACAGTCCTGAAGGACTCATCTGATCTCTGTTGTAAGGACAGCACCCCAAAAAGCGAGGGCTAGAACATCAGTCTGCTTTTTTTTTCTGTGTAATGTAATTGCAGTTGCCTGCCTGCCTGTGTGTCAGGCTCACAGCATATACTGTGCCCACTTGCCCAGTGCCACCACTCACTCACTGGTGTCCCAATAGCTTCCATTTAAAAAAACCAAAACCTTTTGGACTGTAATATAATAGTCAGTTTCCTTCACGCGTGTGCGTTTTAGGGCCTGCTAGGGCACAGTGTCACACCAGTGCAACTCATATCTAGTGTAACAGTAGTGTACATTTAAAAAAAAAAAAAAAAAAAATTCAACTAAGATTGAATAGCAGTTAGCTGTCTGCAAGCGTGTGTGTCAGGCCAACAGCGTCTACTCTGCCAACTTCTGCCACTGCACAGTGCCACTCATATCTGTTGTCACAGTAGCTTGCACGCATAGTACCACTAATCAAAAAAAAAATAAAATAATGAAAGGCAGAGGCAGGCCACCCCGCAGGGGCCGCCGTGGTCGTGGTGCTGTGATTCCCTTTGGCCCTAGAATAATGCCCAGTGTTCAGAGGCCACGTACCCTGAACTTGAAAAGTTCTGAGGACATAGTTGACTGGCTAACACAGGACACCCAATCTTCTACAGCTTCCGCTTGGAACCTTGACGCACCATCCTCCTCCAGCTTAGCTTCGGGCACCTCTCAAGTTACCACTCGCCCGCCTGCCGCCACCAACACTAGCACCACAGCAGCTTCACTTGGTATGTCAAGAGGAGTTATTTACACATCAGTTGGAAGAAATGAGTGATGTGCAACCATTATTGCCAGAGGATGTAGATAACAGGGATATGTCTCAGTCAGGCAGCATTACACACACGGACGTACGGTGTGATGATGATGTTGTACCCGCTGCTGCTTCCTTTGCGGAGTTGTCAGAGAGGAGGAGACGAGTTGGAAGCAGGGGAGGTCGTCGCAAGGAGCTAGTGGCACAGTCAGACAGCATGCATCGGCACCCGGGGTCAGCCAGACAGCACGCCAATCAACGCATGCTGTTCCTGGTCCAGCATCTTCAGCCACGTCAACCACTGCTGTCCTCCTTGCCCCATCTCAACCATCCGCCCCCTCCGTCTCTCGCCTTGAGCAGTTCCTGCTCATCTGCCCACAGTCAGGTGTCTGTCAAGGACATGTTTGAGCATAAGAAGCCAATGTCACAAAGTTACCCCCTTGCCCGGCGTCTGACAGCTGGCTTGACTGAACTCTTACCCCACCAGCTTTTACCATACAAGCTGGTGGAGTCTGATGCGTTCAAAATTTTTTTTTTAGCTATTGAGACACCGCAGTGGAAGGTACCCGGCCGAAATTTCTTTGCACAAAAGGCAATCCCCAACCTGTACTCGATTGTGCAAAAGGAAGTAATGGCATGTCTGGCACACAGTGTTGGGGCAAGGGTCAATCTGACCACTGATACCTGGTATGCAAAGCATGGTCACGGCAGGTATATCACCTACACTGCGCATTGGGTAAACCTGCTGACTGCTGCCAAGCATGGAATGCGTGGCTCTGCAGAGGAGTTGGTGACACCGCCACGACTTGCAGGCAGGCCTACTGCCACCTCCTCTACTCTTCCCTACTCCATCCTCTTCCATAACCTCCTCGGCTGAGTCCTCTTCTGCTGCTGCGTCTTGCTCCACATCAACGGCACCCCCCCCAGGTACTATTCCACATCCCGGATACGACAGTGTCACGCCGTCTTGGGGTTGACTTACCTGAAAGCAGAGTCACACCGGACCAGCACTCCTGTCCACCCTGAACGCACAGGTGGATCAGTGGCTAACTCTGCACCAACTGGAGATCAGCAAAGTGGTTTGTGACAACGGAAGAAATTTGTTGGCGGCATTGCATTTGGGCAAGTTGACATGTGCCGTGCATGGCACATGTGTGTAATCTGATCGTACAACGCTTTGTGCATAAGTACATAGGCTTACAGGACGTCCTGAAGCAGGCCAGGAAGGTGTGTGGCCATTTCAGGCGTTCCTACACGGCCATGGCGCACTTTTCAGATATCCAGCGGCGAAAAAACATGCCAGTGAGGCGCTTGATTTGCGACAGCCCGACACGTTTGAATTCAACACTCCTAATGATCGACCGCCTGCTCCAACAAGAAAAAAACGTTAACGAGTATTTGTATGACCGGGGTGCTAGGACAGCCTCTGCGGAGCTGAGAATTTTTTTGCCACGTTACTGGACGCTCATGCGTCCTTTTGAGGAGGTGATAAATTTAGTCAGTCGCACCGAAGGCACCATCAGTGACATCATACCATTTGTTTTCTTCCTGGAGCGTGCCCTGCGAAGAGTGCTGGATCAGGCCGTAGATGAGCGTGAAGAGGAAGAGTTGTGGTCACCATCACCACCAGAAACAGCCTTATCAGCATCGCTTGCTGGACCTGCAGCAACGCTGGAAGAGGATTGTGAGGAAGAGGAGTCAGAGGAGGAATGTGGCTTTGAGGAGGACCACCAACCACAACAGGCATCCCAGGGTGCTCGTCACCTATCTGGTACCCGTGGTGTTGTACGTGGCTGAGGGGGGAAGAACATACCTTCAGTGAGATCACTGAGGACGAGGAAAAGGACATGAGTAGCTCGGCATCCAACCTTGTGCAAATGGGGTCTTTCATGCTGTCGTGCCTGTTGAGGGACCCTCGTATAAAAAGGCTGAAGAACGACCTGTACTGTGTGTCCACGCTACTAGACCCCCGGTATAAGCAGAAAGTGCCTGAAATGTTACCGAATTACAGCAAGTCGGAAAGGATGCAGCAGTTCCAAAATCAATTAAAAAGTATGCTTTACACAGTGTATAAGGGTGATGTCACAGCACAACAGGAATCTAACAGGGGAAGAGGTGAAAGTAATCCTCCTCCTCCCACGACCACGCCGGCAAGGACAGGACGCTTTACAGATGTGTTGTTGATGGAGGACATGCGGAGCTTTTTAAGTCCTATGCATCGTCACAGCCCTTCGGGGTCCACCCTCAGAGAGCGACTCGACCGACAGGTAGCAGACTACCTCGCCTTAACTGCAGATATCGACACTCTGAGGAGCGATGAACCCCTTGACTACTGGGTATGCAGGCTTGACCTGTGGCCTGAGCTATCCCAATTTGCGATAGAACTTCTGGCCTGCCCCGCTTCAAGTGTCCTGTCAGAAAGGACCTTCAGTGCAGCAGGAGGTATTGTCACTGAGAAGAGAAAAGTCACCTAGGTCAAAAAAGTCTAGATTACCTCACCTTTATTAAGATGAATGAGGGATGGATCCAGAAGGGACTGACAGTGGGCGATACATTAGACTAAAAAAGGCCTGATGAGGGGGATGTAACAGGGTGTCGCGGCTGCCGGCCCGCCGCGTGATATTTAAATCCCTAGCTCACCCCAGTACCTTGCACGGTCGTGGTTTCCTGTTCCTGGTTTCCTGAGAGTGCTTTATCATTGTGAATCTGATTTCCTGGTATCCTGATCTTGGCTTTTCCCTGGCTATTCTGAATTCTAGTTTCCCTGACTTGGCTTGTGTAAACGTTTTGTGTATTTTCTGGCTTCCTTGACCTCGGCTTTCCCTTTGACCATTCTCTGTCTCTAGCGTATTAGTCCGGCCGTTCTAAGGTCCGGTTTACGCTCTGTCCTTCTATTTTCCTTTTCTTGCCTATGTATATGTTTACATAGTTTCTGCGTGCTGGACCACACTAGTAGTCGTGACATTGGGATTAAACTGATAAGAATAGTACTACTTAACACACCACTCCTATCTGGTGGCACATTAGATTGCACGCGCAGTGCCCCAAATTTGAAGTAGGAGGACTGACCAAGAATCTTTCCATCTCCCGGTTCCTAAAAATCGATGCCATATACACGTCCCCTGATAGGAGTTTGGTCTGTCACTGTGAAGCGGGCGTAACCCTTACACTACCTGATCAATACAAGATAATACCTGATGTTTTAAAGCACGTTATTCCAAACAATTTAGGAATGTTCAGTGATTTATGCCCTTTATGGATTAAAACCAGACTCTGCATCAACTATGTAATTTTCCATGGGAGTTTTGCATGCCACAGTCCAGGTGTTAGTCCCCTTGAAACAACTTTTCCATCACTATTGTGGCCAGAAAGAGTCCCTGTGGGTTTTAAAATTCGACTGCCTATTGAAGTCTATGGCGGTTCGCGAACATTTGCGGAAGTTCACATTTGCGAAGCGAAAATGTTATGTACGCGACATCACTAGTTATCAGTTAAACCAGCTAGGCGGATAGAGTCCAGTACTGCCTGCACTTTAGGAAGATGTGAAGCCCAGTCAGAACTGGGAATGACTATGTCATCTAAGTATGCAGCTGCATAACGGCTATGAGGCTTCAAAATCCTATCAGTCTTTGAAAAGTGGCACGTGCCCCATGTAACCCGAATGGTAGCACCTTGTATTGGAATAATTCCCCTGATGTCGAAAAAGCTGTCTTTTCTTTTGCTCTGCCTGTAAGAGGTACTTGCCAATAACCCTTTGTCAGGTCCAAAGTAGTCAGGTACCGAGCCTTACCCAGTCTCTCTATCAGTTCATCAACCCTAGGCATTGGATAAGCATCAAACTTTGACACACTATTTAATTTATGAAAGTCATTACAAAGTCTTAACAAGCCATCAGGTTTTGGCACCAGTACTATAGTGCTGTTCCACTCGCTTTGTGAATCCTCAATATCAAGATCTAACATTTTCTTAATTTCAGCATTTAGTCTATTTCTGTGCTTCTTGAATTCTGTATGGTTTAATACTTATCTGTAACAATATCATGCTTGATAATGTTGGTCCTGCCTGGAACTACAGAAAATACATCCTTTTTTCTACCAATAAAGTCCCTTACATCCAGTTTCTGGTGGGGGGACAGTGTGTCTGGTATGTTTACTTCAGGTTTTACCATCAGTCCTATGCGTGACAATTGAAATAGTCCTTCCAGGGTTTTAGTAAATTTATATGATATATTTGCTCAGGTTTTCTCCTATTGGGTTGTCTCACTTTATAATTAACTTCCCCAACTTGTTCAATAATCTCATAGGGGCCATGGCAAGATGCTATAAATTTATTTTCTACTGTAGGGATCAAAACAAGTACCCTGTCTCCTGGGTGAAAAACTCTCAGTCTGGCATTTTTATTATAACTGTTTTTCTGGGCCTCTTGGGCTTTCTGCATATGTTCTTTAACTATTGGCATGACAGCCGCCATCCTATCTTGCATTTGAGCTAAGTGCTCAATTACACTACGGATTGGATTCATGTTCCCAGGTTTCTTTTGCTATATCTAGCAGACCTCTGGGATGATGGGCATTTAGAAGTTCAGAAGGAGAGAAGCCCGTAGAAGCACCTCCCTTAAGGAGAACATTAGATAGGTTAGTAAGCAATCCCAATTCTTACCATCCTTGTTAATTACTTTCCTTAACATACTTTTTAAGGTCTTGTTGAACAGTTCTACCAGTCCGTCTGTCTGGGGATGATAAACAGAGGTCCAAAGATGTTTAATTTGAAGTAGTTTGCATAACTCCTTCGTAACATATAGCTTGGTGCTACTTCTAAGTGCTGTTTCTAAGTGTGTAGTTGGAGATATTCTGGAGAGTGCTGTTTCTAAGTGTGTAGTTGGAGATATTCTGGAGGCAATCTGAAGTATTCAGGAGGATAAATACAAAGTTAAGATTTGTTAGATTTAAATTATTCTCCTAATTGGAATGGCAGACTTAGTTCAGTGTAACAATTGCTATGCATTTGTTTCACGTTCCACTTTTTGGAGGTTTGGTTGTTGTCTAATCTGTAGAGAGTTCTCTATCTTGCGGCAGGAGATTGTATTTTTGAAGTCTGAGATTTGTAAATTATCTGGTGAACAAACTCAGACTGGAACTGCTGCAAAGCCACTGCCACAGGCACATACTAGGAATGGCAAATGGATTACTGTAGGATCTGGTAGACTTAGAGTTGTGGATAAAAGGCATTTTGCACAGTCTGTTGCTCTACATAATTCATTTTCTGCACTTTCAGAGTGTAATGGTGTTGTGGAGGGAGGCACTGAGGCTAGTGGTGTTGTGGAGAGAGGCACTGAGGCTAGTGGTGTTGTGGAGAGAGGCACTGAGGCTAGTGGTGTTGTGGAGAGAGGCACTGAGGCTAGTGGTGTTGTGGAGAGAGGCACTGAGGCTAGTGGTGTTGTGGAGAGAGGCACTGAGGCTAGTGGTGTTGTGGAGAGAGGCACTGAGGCTAGTGGTGTTGTGGAGAGAGGCACTGAGGCTAGTGGTGTTGTGGAGAGAGGCACTGAGGCTAGTGGAGTTGTGGAGAGAGGCACTGAGGCTAGTGGAGTTGTGGAGAGAGGCACTGAGGCTAGTGGAGTTGTGGAGAGAGGCACTGAGGCTAGTGGTGTTGTGGAGAGAGGCACTGAGGCTAGTGGTGTTGTGGAGAGAGGCACTGAGGCTAGTGGTGTTGTGGAGAGAGGCACTGAGGCTAGTGGTGTTGTGGAGAGAGGCACTGAGGCTAGTGGTGTTGTGGAGAGAGGCACTGAGGCTAGTGGTGTTGTGGAGAGAGGCACTGAGGCTAGTGGTGTTGTGGAGAGAGGCACTGAGGCTAGTGGTGTTGTGGAGAGAGGCACTGAGGCTAGTGGTGTTGTGGAGAGAGGCACTGAGGCTAGTGGTGTTGTGGAGAGAGGCACTGAGGCTAGTGGTGTTGTGGAGAGAGGCACTGAGGCACTGAGGCTGGTGTTGTGGAGAGAGGCACTGAGGCTAGTGGAGTTGTGAGAGGCACCTAGTGGTGTTGTGAGGCACTGAGACTATGGTGAGGCCTAATAGAAAGCAGTTGTTGTTGGGGGATTCCATCATAAGAGGTGTGGAGATGGACAATGGTGGTCTTGTGAGGTGTCTTCCCGGAGCTACTGCTCACAGAGACAGGAGACGTATCTGTAATATTGTTAAGCAAGCAAAACAGGAAGGGGAATTGGATGTACTTGTCCATCTAGGGACAAATGACTTGGCTTGCAATGAGGTTTCAGAGGTTAAGGAAGTTTTTAGTGTTTTTGCCAATGATATACGGCAGGTTGCTTCCACACTGTCATTCTCTGAAGTTCTGCCTGTGCATAACACTCAGAACGACAGGCGGATGCGTATTAGGGACTTTAATTTGTGGCTTGGTGAATGGTGTCGGGAGCAAGGATTTGGCTTTATTTCTCATGGTAGCTCTGTTTGGAATGGAGATAAGCTGTACAAAAAAGATGGTTTGCATCTTTCTCAAAAGGGAACAAATGTTCTCAGTGAGCAGTTCAGAGGTTTTGCTAGGATGTATTTAAACTAGGAGGGGGGGGCAAAAGGGTGATAAAACATCAATCCAATTGTCCCCCAAAACAAGGACAGAAGGTGCCTGTAGCAAGTGTGTTAAAAAATTATAAGCTTAGAGTCATGTCTACAAATGCTCGCAGTTTAGGGAATAAGATCCATGAACTTGTGGCAATAATGGCAACTGATAGTGTAGATTTAGTCGCTGTTACTGAGACATGGTACAATGAGAAAAATGACTGGGACATAGCAATACCAGGGTACTCTTTATATAGGAAAGATAGGGAAGGCAAGAAAGGGGGAGGGGTGGCCTTGTATGTGAAGGATAGCATAAAATCTAGCCTAATAAAAGTTAGTGAGGCAAACATAGAGTCCGTTTGGGCTACGTTAGAATTTGGTAATCACACAGTAACTCGTGTAGGTGTGATTTATAGGTCCCCAGGACAAATTGAAGAGTTAGATAATCTACTAGTTGAGGAAATAGCTAAAATGACAATGAAGGGGGAAGTTATCATCATGTGTGACTTTATTCTTCCTGATGTAAATTGGAAAACAAAATTAGCTACTTGTGCCAGGAGCACACATTCTAAACTCCGTACTGGGATTGTCTCTAAAACAAGTTGTTGAGGAGCCAACGCGAAAAGAGGCCATACTAGATTTAGTGTTTACAAATGGAGATTTGGTATCAGATATTACTGTAGGTGAAAGTTTAGGATCCAGTGATCAGTCAGTCAGTGTGGTTTAATATAAGAACAGTGACTGAGTCACACCACACAAAAACAAAAGTTTTAGACTTTAGAAAAACAGACTTTTCTAAAATTAGAATATGGGTAGAGGAGTCATTATCAGACTGGAGCAATTTAAATGGAGTCCAAGAGAAATGGGATTATTTAAAAGTTGCACTATTGAAGGCAACAGAAAATTGCATTAGGCTTGTCAGTAAAAGCAAAAAATTCAAGAAACCACTGTGGTACTCCGCAGATGTGGCCAAAATAGTTAAAAACAAAAAGTTAGCATTTAGGAATTATAAAAAAACCCAGAGTGAGGAAGACAAAATGATCTATAAGATTAGGCAGAAAGAGGCTAAGCAAGTTATAAGAGCTTCCAAATCACACACAGAAGAGAAAATAGCACAGTCAGTAAAAAAGGGGGATAAAACATTTTTTAGATACATAAATGAGAAAAGAAAAGTAAAACAAGGATTAGTTAGATTAAAAACAAAAGAAGGAAGGTATGTAGAAGAGGATAAAGGTCTAGCTGACTGCCTCAATGAATATTTTTGTTCTGTATTTACAGATGAAAATGAAGGAAAGGGACCTCAGTTGAGAAAAAGGATAAATGAGTCATTTATTACACGTGAGTTTACAGAGGAAGAGGTTCTATTTCAACTGTCAAAAGTAAAGACAAATAAGTCAATGGGACCTGATGGAATACACCCAAAGCTATTAATAGAGCTTAGTGGTGTACTAGCAAAACCATTAACAGATTTATTTAACCAATCATTGTTAACAGGAGTAGTTCCAGAAGATTGGAAGTTAGCGAATGTTGTGCCCATTTACAAGAAAGGTAATAGGGAGGAGTCGGGCAACTATAGGCCAGTAAGCCTTACTTCAGTAGTGGGGAAAGTGATGGAAACCATGTTAAAGGATAGGATTGATGAACATCTAAAAACACATGGATTTCAAGATCAGAGACAACATGGGTTTACTTCAGGGAGATCATGCCAAACTAATCTTATTGATTTTTTTGATTGGGTAACTAAAATTATAGATCAGGGTGGTGCAGTAGACATTGCTTACCAAGATTTCAGTAAGGCTTTTGACACTGTTGCACATAAGAAGGCTTATCAATAAACTGCAATCTTTAAGTTTGGATTCAAATATTGTTGAATGGGTAAGGCAGTGGCTGAGTGACAGGCAACAGAGGGTTGTAGTTAATGGAATATATTCGAAGCTTGGACTTGTCACCAGTGGGGTACCTCAGGGATCTGTACTTAGACCCATTCTCTTTAAAAATTTTATTAGTGATATTGCAGAAGGTCTTGATGGTAAGGTATGTCTTTTTGCTGATGATACTAAGATATGTAACAGGGTTGATGGAACATCAACATAGGGGAGGCATAAGCCAAATGACAAATGATTTAGGTAAACTAGAAAAATGGTCAGAATTGTGGCAACTGACATTTAATGTGGATAAGTGCAAGATAATGCATCTTGGACGTAAAAACCCAAGGGCAGAGTACAGAATATTTGATAGAGTCCTAACCTCAACATATGAGGAAAGGGATTTAGGGGTGATTATTTCTGATGACTTAAAGGTAGGCAGACAATGTAATAGAGCAGCAGGAAATGCTAGCAGAATGCTTGGTTGTATAGGGAGAGGTATTAGCAGTAGAAAGAGGGAAGTGCTCATGCCATTGTACAGAACACTGGTGAGACCTCACTTGGAGTATTGTACACAGTACTGGAGACCGTATCTTCAGAAGGATATTGATACCTTAGAGAGGGTTCAGAGAAGGGCTACTAAACTGGTTCATGGATTGCGGGATAAAACTTACCAGGAAAGGTTAAAGGATCTTAACATGTATAGCTTGGAGGAAAGACGAGACAGGGGGGATATGATAGAAACATTTAAATATATAAAGGGAATCAACACAGTAAAGGAGGAGACTATATTTAAAAGAAGAAAAATTACCACAACAAGAGGACATAGTCTTAAATTAGAGGGACAAAGGTTTAAAAATAATATCAGGAAGTATTACTTTACTGAGAGGGTAGTGGATGCATGGAATAGCCTTCCAGCTGAAGTGGTAGAGGTTAACACAGTAAAGGAGTTTAAGCATGCGTGGGATAGGCATAAGGCTATCCTAACTATAAGATAAGACTAGCGTCTAATGAAAGTATTTAGAAAATTGGGCAGACTAGATGGGCCGAATGGTTCTTATCTGCCGTCACTTTCTATGTAACTTTAGACATAAATGGTGTACCCTGATCTGTCAAAATTTCTTTTGGTATGCCCACCCGGCTAAACATGAGCATGAGTTATTTTGCTATTGTCTTTGCAGATGTGTTACGTAGGAGCACTGCTTCCAGGTACTTGGTAGCATGATAAAAACCCACCAATATATACTGATGCCCCCTAGCAGACTTTACCAAAGGACCTACCAGGTCCATTGCAATCATCTCAAAAGGTATTTCTATTATAGGCAATGGTACAAGAGGACTGTGTTGTGCCTTAAAAAGGGCAGTTTGCTGACTTTCAAGACAAGAAGAACAGTAATTTGCAACTGAAGCAAATACCCCAAGACAATTAAACCTCTGTAAGACTCGCTCTTTTGTCTTTTCTATGCCTAAAAGTCACCCCAGTATATGCCTGTGTGCAAGATTTAGGATTGTATGTCTGAAGGGCTTAGGAACAAGTAGTTGCATGCCATAGGTTCGCCATCATTGATCTAGTTGAACTGGATCATTAGAAACCTGGATATTTTTAAGGGCCTCGGCAAGAGTGGGGTCTTCCCATTGCACTTTCCTGAAGTTAACAGGACTGACTTCTAATTCAGGAAGGTTAATGCCTTGATCATCTCCTATTAAAGCTGACATGTGACATGAGGCTTCAGCCTTCTCTGTTCGTATGCCTAGTCCTTCCCATTCTATGTCAGAAAAAGGAAACATTTCCAGAATCATCATTTGTTATACAATCAGGGGCTACTTTTCCTGGAGATCCCCACAAGTCTAAAAATTGGGGAAAATTCCTTCCCAACACTACGTCATAAGCCAATTTATCCACCACCCCCACTCTATGATTCACAGTACCAAAAAGGCTTTCAAATTTCAGCAAAACTGTAGGATATTCACGTTTGTCACCATGAACACAAATTATACCAATTTTGTGAAATGCATCAACATCGGCTTCAGATGTTTTGGAAGGCATTTTGTTATCAATGTAGCCATACTTCCAGCGTCTAACCTCTTCCAGCGTCTAACCTAGAGCTCTAACCTCTTTGCCATTCAGCTTTATGGAACATATCTGTGGATTGTGACTACAGTTGGCAACAGCAGATTCCATATAATTCAGCAGAAAAGACCATTGTACATCCTGATTAATCATATTGCATTGCATAGGTTTATCAATCAAGGGACAGTCTCTAGTTCATTACACCGGAAACATTTAATATTATAATCTGTCCCCCACCTAGACCCTTTTCCAGGATTAACATTTCTAGGAATAAGAGTATACTCTGAGAATGTCTCTTGTTCCTCTGTGTCTCTGAAACCTTGAAAAAATCTTACCAGGTCTTTCAGCAGCTCGAGTCTTAACTCTCTGCATAGACTGTTTTGTTAAGCCACTGTGTCATCCGCAGCAACATATCTTTCCACCAAACTAACTCATCGGCTGATTGTGGATCACTGACTGACCCATCGACGCAGTGAAGCAGGTAAGACTCGCAGGAATCAAGAAGTTCCATGATGTGGCTTGCCGTATTTATTTCTGGTGGTAACTGTGGCAAACCTAGCCACTTGGGACTGCCTAAGATAGAATGGTTGTGCCTATTTTCTGTTGTGTACTGCGCGCCGGTATAGTGTGGCGTCTCCGGCTATGTTTAATTTATGCTGTACTGTGCATGTCTGTTCGAAACCTCCCCATTCATTAGCATTGCTATTACAACTGACTAAGTTGTATATTTTGAAATAGAAAGGTAACGGTTTATGTCCTCGTAGTTTTCATTACTGTATGTTACAGCAGGGGCTGTTGGGAGGAGGACCTGGAAACGGTAGTCTCCCTCCAGTCCCCTCAACCAAAACCCCTGCTGCCCATCTTTGGAAACCCCTGTTGAGTGACCTGCTTTAAATATCAGTTATTTTTAATAAAGTGACAGTTGAGTGACCTGCTTTAAATAGCAGTCTTTTTGAATAAAGTGGCAGTTGACGCTCAGACTGTGTTTCGTCTGGTTCTTGGGAGGATTTGGGAATATTGCCTGCTTCCAGCTTTGTACTTGGTTATTGCATTCTACCAGCAGAGATCCTGGGATTATAAAATTGCAGCTCCGCAAAAATTGGTGGCAAGCGGCGGGATCCAACCGTACAGCAGGAAAAACGCTGTTTATACAATTGGAATTGACATACTGGAAAGCAGAAGGCAATTGATACAGATGCAGAAGTGAATGGGGACGGACTACACCATATTGAAACGGCAAACGTTAAAGGAGCTGTTGGAAGCCAGGGGTAAGATAGCCAGCAATAAGCCTAAAGCAAGACTTATTGCCGAGCTAATGGAAGGAGACCGAGCTCGTAGTGCTACAACCCCAGCAAACATGGAGGAGACCCCATTTGAACGAGAAATGAGGACAAGATTGGCATTTTGGTACCGGGCTGTACCCAGAGAGGACAGCAAGAATTATGACAAGGTAAAGCAGGCGCTATTAGAAAGGTATGCCATTACCCCAGAGGCATACCGGCGCAAGTTCCGAGAATTGAAAAAAGGGGACAAAGACTCACATGCGGAGTGGGCACACAAGCTTGACCAAGCCTCACAAGGCTGGATACAAGCCAGCAGAGCTACCACCATGGAAGAGTTACGCCAGATGTTGCTACTGGAGCAGTTTTGTAATGGCCTGGCACCAGAGGCTCAAGAATGGGTGAATGACCGAAATCCTCACACCCTAACCGAAGCGGCACGATTGGCCGACCAACATTATGATGCTAGGAGGCATCATAAAAATAATAACCGAGGGTATGCAAAACCCAACCCGCAACCGTTTCCAGTTATTGCTCCTGCCCCAGCGACAGCACCATCCAGACCAGCACTTGTGGGACAACCTCCCCACTCCCGTTATAATGGCAGGTCCAACATCCAGTGCCATGCCTGTAAGCAATGGGGGCACATGGCCCAGGAGTGCACCCAAAACCGGAGCAGCAAGAACTGGAATCAGCTCCGGCAGAATATGGCCCCGCGGGCAGCTGCTCATTATTATCATGCAGAGCCAACTTTGCCAGGAGTGCCGCTTGAGTCGGCTGATGAACCCCTGGGCGTTTTGCACGATGTAATGTCCATCCATGCTACTGACAACCGACAACCACATTGCCAGACCGTGACTCTGGAAGGGAAAGAGGTACAGGGGCTACGTGATTCCGGCGCTACCTTAACTTTGGTTGCCCCGCATTTGGTGTCAGGATCAGCACATACCGGGGGATCGGTAGCAGTCCGGGTAGCAGGGGGTGCCATGTACCGGCTACCAACTGCCAAGGTACATCTGAATTGGGGTGCGGGGGAAGGTATGGTGGAGGTGGGGCTGATGCACAAGTTACCAGCTGATGTTTTGGGGAATGACCTGAGGCAAATGACTTCCGCTTTTGTGCCCCAAAGTCCTCGTCATGAGGCATATCCAGTGACCACCCGTCAGCAGGCTCGCACCACGGCTTCATCTTCCACACACTCTGAGGCTCAGGTAAGAGACAATGTACCCCGTGTTTCCTGGGATACCCCGACTGACTTTGAGGCAGAGGTTAAAAACTATCCCACGTTGCAAATTTATAAGGATAAGGCGACAGCTGGTCAGACAGGTTTAGAGGGAGAACAGTATGTATGGGAGAAAAATCTGTTATATCGTGTTGCTGAGCGGGTGGTAGGGGGGTCTGTACATGTGACTAATAAGCAGCTTATAGTGCCCCAGAAATACCGGCAGGAACTGCTTAGAATTGCCCACGATATTCCGCTGTCTGGGCATTTAGGGATGACAAGAACGAGGTACAGATTGACACATGCATTTTTCTGGCCAGGTATATCTAGAGATGTGAGACAGTATTGTCAGACATGTGACATTTGTCAGAGAGTGGGAAAAAGGGGTGACCGCCACAAAGCGAAATTGTGCCCCCTTCCCATTATTGAAGAACCCTTTAGCAGAGTAGCAGTGGATATAGTAGGACCACTGTCCAAGCCTAGCCCTTCCGGCAAGCGGTATATTCTGACCATTGTAGATTATGCCACCCGGTACCCGGAGGCTATAGCACTTTCCAATATACAAGCAGAAACGGTAGCCAAAGCTATGATGAAGATATTTTCCAGGATGGGATTTCCCCAAGAGATAATTTCGGATAGGGGGACCCAATTTACAGCTGAAGTGACCCACCAGCTATGGAAGTTATGTGGCATTAAGCCAATTGTAAATTCTGCCGATCGCCCGCAGTCCAATGGGTTGTGTGAGCGCTTTAACGGTACCTTGAAGCAGATGCTCAGGACATTTGGGGAGTCCCATAAAGACTGGGAGAGGTTTTTACCCCATCTGCTTTTTGCGTACCGAGAAGTGCCACAGGAATCTACCGGCTTCTCTCCGTTTGAGTTATTGTTTGGGAGAAGGGTGAGGGGACCCCTAGACTTAGAGAACATTGGGAGGGGGGGAGCAGTGCCGATGGAGTCCCCATTGTGCCATACGTGCTGGAGTTCCGGGACCGCTTGGAGGCTCTAACCCAAACCGTACGGGAGAACCTCTGGGCGGCTCAGCGGCGACAGCGCCGGTGGTACGATAGGGGAGCCAGAGACCGTAGCTTTCAGGTGGGACAGAAAGTTCTAATTTTGAAACCTGTCCGCACAGACAAGCTACAGGCCACCTGGCAGGGCCCATACCAAGTGGTAGAACAGAGATGTGACACCACTTATGTGATCGGCCCGTGCTCTGGGGTAGGGAAACGACGCATGCTCCATGTGAACATGCTCAAACCCTATCACCAGAGAATAGAGGAGGTAGCAGCCATCTGTGCCCCAGCCACTGAGGATTATGAGAATCTGCCCTTGCCAGACATGTTAGAAAAGGAAGATTCTGCAGAAAACGCTACAGGTGTGCAGCTGGGGGAGCGGCTAAGTCTCCAGGAGCGTGCCCAGGTACAGGAGTTGATTGCGGCAAAAGGTGCTACCTTCTCCAATTTACCAGGGTACACTCTGTTAGCTACCCACCGAGTAGAGACCCCAGGACAGCTCCCTATGAGACAGACTCCGTATCGTATCCCTGAAGCAGTAAGGGAGCACATGAGGAAAGAAATTGAGGAAATGTTGCAGTTAGGGGTTATCGAACATTCAGATAGCCCCTGGGCATCACCGGTAGTGCTAGTACCCAAGAAGGATGGCACCACGCGGTTTTGTGTAGACTACCAGAGGCTCAATGACAAAACAGTGTCTGACGCCTACCCGATGCCCCGTATAGACGAGCTGCTAGATAGGATGGCAAGAGGCCAGTATCTCACTACCATTGATCTGTGTAAGGGATACTGGCAGATTCCACTAGCCGAGGAGGCCATCCCCAAGTCGGCGTTTGTCACCCCGTTTGGCCTGTATCAATTTCGGGTCATGCCTTTCGGGATGAAAAACGCTCCGGCTACCTTTCAGAGGATGGTAGATCGGCTACTGGACGGGTTCCAAGAGTACGCCTGTGCGTACTTAGATGATATAGCCATTTATAGCCAGACCTGGGCAGATCATTTGAAACATATTAGTGTGGTCATTGACCGTATTGGAGAGGCAGGGCTGACACTAAAACCTAGCAAGTGTCACATAGGGATGGCAGAGGTGCAGTACCTGGGTCACAGGGTAGGATGCGGACAGCAGAGGCCCGAACCGGCCAAGATAGAGGCAGTAGCTAAGTGGCCTACCCCCAGGACAAAGACACAAGTATTGGCGTTCCTTGGTACCGCTGGTTACTACAGAAAATTTGTGCCCAATTACAGCGCCCTGGCCAAACCCCTGATGGACTTGACCAAGAAAAACTTGCCACGACAGGTCAACTTGGCCCCAGAGTGTGAATAGGCATTCCATGAACTAAAAACTGCATTAACTAAGGCTCCTGTGTTAACTGCCCCTGATCCAACTAAACGATTTCTTGTTCACACAGACGCTTCCATGTTTGGATTGGGGGCAGTACTGAGCCAAGTGGGAGCTGATGGCGGAGAACATCCCGTAGCTTACTTAAGCAGAAAATTACTACCAAGGGAAGTAGGCTACGCCGCCATCGAGAAGGAATGCCTGGCCGTGGTGTGGGCCCTCAAAAAAAGTTACAACCTTATTTGTATGGACAACCATTCTCCTTGCTCACCGATCACAACCCGTTGGTGTGGCTACACAGGGTGTCAGGAGACAATGCCCGGCTGTTGCGCTGGAGTTTGGCGCTGCAGCCGTTTGATTTCACGATCCATTATCGCCCTGGAAAACAGAATGGTAACGCCGATGGGTTGTCCAGACAGACAGAACTTGAGAAATGATCTGTGAGCACTCCCCCGGACATCCCCAAGCCGATCCGTTGGGATCAGACTGTGTATACTGGCTTGGTTTTGGGGGAGCATTGTGGCAAACCTAGCCACTTGGGACTGCCTAAGATAGAATGGTTGTGCCTATTTTCTGTTGTGTACTGCGCGCCGGTATAGTGTGGCCGGTATAGTGTCAGCTTTAATTTATGCTGTACTGTGCATGTCTGTTCGAATCCTCCCCATTCGTTAGCATTGCTATTAAAACTGACTAAGTTGTATATTTTGAAGTAGAAAGGTAACGGTTTATGTCCTCGTAGTTTTCATTACTGTATGTTACAGCAAGGGCTGTTGGGAAGAGGACCTGGAAACGGTAGTCTCCCTCCAGTCCCCTCAACCAAAACCCCTGCTGCCCATCTTTGGAAACCCCTGTTGAGTGACCTGCTTTAAATATCAGTTATTTTTAATAAAGTGACAGTTGAGTGACCTGCTTTAAATAGCAGTCTTTTTGAATAAAGTGGCAGTTGACGCTCAGACTGTGTTTCGTCTGGTTCTTGGGAGGATTTGGGAATATTGCCTGCTTCCAGCTTTGTACTTGGTTATTGCATTCTACCAGCAGAGATCCTGGGATTATAAAATTGCAGCTCCGCAACAGTAACAACTTTCTAGCAAGATGTATCAGGTCAAACATCTGGGAGCGGATAGGTTTCTCTTGATCGAAAGTCCAGGCATGAAATCTTTGGGCACGAACGGCCATAGTCACACCAAGTCGTGCAAGGATCTCAGCCTTCAGTTTGGAGTAGACCCCTGCCTGTGCTGGTTCCAGGTCATAGATATCCTTCTGTGGTTCTCCAATAAGAAAAGGTGCCAGTATGCTTGCCCACTCACTCACTGGCCACTCTTCTCTCTCAGCTGTCCTCTCAAAAGCTAGAAGGTATGCTTCCACATCATCTGTAGGCGTCATCTTCTGCAGGTAACGGCTGGCTCTGATCATTTTAACCTCAGACTGCGTCCCATCTGAAACTCTGGTTAGTCCCTTGAGATTATATTTAAAAGAAGAAAATCTACCACAACAAGAGGACATAGTCTTAAATTAGAGGGACAAAGGTTTAAAAATAATATCAGGAAGTATTACTTTACTGAGAGGGTAGTGGATGCATGGAATAGCCTTCCAGCTGAAGTGGT